ATAACGTAGCTTGACCATGGTTCCAGTGTCCTGACTGAATTTCATTTTGAGCCAAAATTGTTGCGTTTTCTGAAAAATCTACTTGGACGACAATGTTTTTTGTGTCACAAGTTGAGGTTAAGTCTCTCAAAAAGGCAGCTTGACATCTTTTTACATAAGTGTGTATTAGAAATGAATCCAATTGTTTTTTCAGTCCCATAAAGGCTTCTCCTGCAGAGCACTCTGTCAATACTTTATCAATTTTCTCACCATTTTGAGTTCTCCATTGATAAAGCTGCAATCTTGCATCAGGATTTCTTGGTTGAAAGTTATCAATTAAGCCAGCACAGATTGAGCATTTTCGATTCATACAATCTTTTGTACTAGAATCACATGTAATTTGATCAATAAATGAATGAAATTCGGTAGATAACTCTGTCTAACCTTTAAGCCCCGTTTACCTTAGGAGATTGCAAAGTGTTCCGTTCTCGGTCTAGGCCAGGACGCGTTAAAATCACAAAATTACACCGTTTACACTACCGAAATAACAAGTGTTCCGAGAACACTTTATAAATGATAGTGTAAACGTTGAACTGTTCTCAGACGCTCATTTATGTAACTCTTCACGAAAAAGGTAAAAATAAACGGTCGTGTTACCCGGATGAAAACAAAAACAATGGCGCCCGATATGTTTTCTGTCTTTTCTTGCACTTGTTGAGGTTACAAAGAAGAAAAAAATGTAATCGAACGCCCTTGTCCTTTTTATAATTTTTGAAGATAGTTCCAGGGCAGTGATTTATCAACGCAGACGAAATCGGATAGTAATGAATTTTGTCCATCTATTACACAAGTCAGTTATGGAATCTCGCAGAGTTCACAGGTAAGTAATATATAGCGTTAAAAAAGCTTGGTGTCTAATTAGTAGTTCCAGAAGTTGAAAAAAACCAAATGTTCTTAGTAAATTGGCAGAAATTAGAATGCGGAATGCTATACTATTGTCTTTGCAAGTTTTTTTTTTTAATTTTTGTCATAATTTTTTTTTTATGAGAATTGGAAATGGAATATCTGACAATGCTACTGTTTTCTTTTTCTACTGTAACAACAAATTTTGAAGTCATAAATTGTTTTACTATTTATATTTTCATCAAAACAAAGACATTCTTTACAATACTAATTTGAAGCTTTTATTCTAGTTCTCAAAAACAGCAAAAATTCAAAAAAAATTCAACTTGCACTGACAAGTAGGCCCTACATGTATTTATAAATGTGAAGTACCAGTATTGTGTTATAACAGGG